GTCTACTAATAAATAATTTCTATCTAAAAGATTTTCATATAGATTTATATGTATAATATCTCTTGTTATATAATCTTTCTATTACTCAACTTTTTATTACTAATATAAATTAGAATTTTAATTCAACATATACCTGGTAGTTTTTCAATATTCAAGCTGAGCTGCCTCTTCTCATCGTAAGACATTGGTTTAGCATTATCTTCATCTTCCGAATCAAACGTGATCGGAGGTGGTTGATTGTCAGTATTTTTCTTCTTGTTCCCAGTAGATCTGCTGTTAGCCTTCGGCCTTTTGGTTGCGGCATTCGCAGTTGTGGCAGCTTTTCCGGGTCCCCGGCCCTTACCTTTTGGCTTAGCATTCGCTGTTGTTGGCAAATGATGTCCTAAGCTTCCTCCTGCAGCATGAGTCTTGTTAGGTCCTACTGCTGTAGCTTGATGGTGAAGATCGCTAGCTATGCCACTAGGCATTTTCAAGTCGCCTGCACCCATCGCAACACTTGTTATACTAGCACCAACACTGTCTGACACATTGAGAATGCTACCACTCGGTTTCATAAGTTCTTTCATGGCACCAGTATGACTGAGAACAAGGCTGCTATTCTTATTGCTCATTGGCTTCGATTTTGGCTTATCTGGCTTCTTTTTATTTTTCTTCTTACCGCTCTCCTCCACTAATTTCCTTATTTACTCTTGCACAGCTTTCAGCTATAAATAAAGTAATATAAATTATATTTTTAATTGCATTTATCTACAAAGTAATTTCTTTTTGAATTTAAAAAATAGTAATTTTATAAACTGATAAAGGATGGCTATGAGAGTCAGACGCAGTTATCGGTGCGTAAAATATTCAATTCACTGATTTATTCACAGTGTATATAATCGAACGTTTCGGCTCGGGATTGAGCCATCTTCAGCGAAATATACAAAAATTAATTAGTAATTGCTCCCCTTCTCCATTCTTACTCAGTGAGTTTCACGTTTGGAAGATCCAAAAAACGACATTGACCATCGAATTGATGTCTGTAAAAATGTTAACTGTAATTCAAGTCGTTTTAAATGATATTGTAAAACTCACCCGATAGCCAGGAGAACGAGACCATTAATAAGCCATTACGAGTATAAAGAGTGTCATCCGAAAAGATAGAATACTGCATATAAAGAGATGGAATCAACCAACTTGTCAGGAAAACAAATACGAAATATCTAACGTCGATTCCGTTTAGTCATGTCACGGGTCATTGTGACCGACCATTATAAATAACAGATGAAACATAAGGGTCGACAATATAAACATTTCTAGAGACAAAAACGGTAGTACATCTTAAACACAGTACATACACAGGCAATCAGCATGGTTTACAATTTATTTAATATGGATACATAAGCATGGTGAAAATCCGTTTGAACGGGATTTTATTCCGCGTAAACGAGTGAATTATCGTATAAGTTACTACAGGTAACACTCGCGTAAACGTAGTACGAGTAATATTTGGGGAACAAGCAACAGAGAATGTTTTATAATTTTTAAGTATCTTGGCGACGACGGTTCAACGTCTTTTATTATATGCGCGATCACCGCGCTGCGAGAACAATCGCGAGGAAATTAAAAAAAAGATACAATTTAACGCGTTAATTTTCCGTAAAGTAGAAGTTATGAGGAATAATTAAAGAAACACACGTGCAAATAAATTTGAAACATTTACGTGACGAATTACGTGAACGAGCGAATTACGTGCCGGGTTCTTTAACGAAAAACGAAATTGTATTCGCACATTCCCAGGTAGCAATTAATGTCTAAAAGACAAGATTTCTGGCATCTTAAAGACATCTTTATGATGTCTTTTAGACATTAATGCTACCTGGGTTTGAACTTGTTCGCACTCTCGATGTTCATTACGCATTTCGAAGCAAGCTCGTTATAATTCCCTCGACCCTCGTTCGCGATCGCGACAATCAAAGTGAGAATGCCAAACGCGCGATCGTTTTTTACAATCACTCAATTAATTATTAATTCCTGCGTTTAAAAAGTAGTTCGAGCTACTCGTTAAAGCGTCTTCCTGCGCGATTCACTTACCTATTCGAGGTAGAAATCGAAACGCGGAAAGCAGGAGACGTGAATTTCGAGGTTATCGTTTCGCTGCGACACGCGGGACAACGATTCTATTAAGATTCGGATGTATCGCGCTTCGAAACATTTGTTTCTCACGTAAAATTCACTCACCGATCACGGAGCACTGCAGGACACCCGGTTAAATCACAGCCGGGAGGTTGATACGTACGGCGTCCAGCACGTGGCATTCGGCGTTTATTTCGTCCAACGACGACATCCCACTCGTTGCACTCGACACAAGAAGAAACGGAATATTCGGCGTGCGTTCACTTTGCAACACTCTGTAATCGGATTTCCTTTCGTTCACAAGAAAAGAATTACGCGCGAGCGATGACGTCTCGCATTGTTTCGCACCGATATTGAACGTGCCACGTGCCACCGAATTTACTCGCGCGCGACGCTGCCGCCGTGCCGCCACTGCCGCCGCACAGTCGGGGGGAGACGTCGAACGCGATTGGCTCGCTAGTCGAGCCCCCGGATCGGGCCAATCACGTTCCGCCGCTCCGAGCCGCCGGCGCGGCGGCGCGACGCAGCGGCGTATATACCAGAGTTACCAGACGCCATACTAGGCGCGATCGTTGAACTGTTGGAACTTGGAAACAGCGTACGTTCAAAGTCGTTGCGCGGCCGATTGTTTTTGCCGGTGAGCGGCCTTATTGCCACTTGTTTCCGTCAACGTTCGGAGGACCGTTACCTGCGGAAGTCACTGGACACTGGGCTATCATTCTCCCGATGGATTTTACACAGATGAGAAGTGGTTGTGCTCCGTGCTGTGGGTGCTGAGTTATTCGGAACGCGCTCGTTTCTGCGATTGGCACGCCTGCTCCTCGTTCCGCGAGCCGCGAAGATAATCAACTACCGCGTTTTTGCGTGCCGTACGCGTTTAACAATTTTTGTATCAAATGTTTGTTAGAATGAATGGGTGCGTTCAGCCGATACTCCGCTAGCCTAGCAATCGTGAGCAGTCGCTCGTTTTCGCTCGTTTCCTCTCTTTTGATCCAATGGATTAAAAGGAGATGCTCACGATTGCTAGGCTAGCGGAGTATCGGCTGAACGCACCCAATGTGTCGCGCGAATCGGAGGGCTCGCTCGAGGCGGAGACGTCGCGTCGAGGCGAAGGTACGTACCGTACGCATAGACAATTTGTGATTTGCAGTTTCGTTTTAACATTCGCGGACGATAATCGTGGCGCTCGAATGTAGCATTTATCTAGTGTCGTGCTTTGAACGCGGTGCCGGAATTATCGTGTGATTTATCTCCGATTCTCTCCGTAGAGAAAGCGAGGGCCGAGTGATATTGTCGTATATCGAGTGATTCGTAACGGAACGCCGTGATACATCGCCTTTTTCGTGAATACTATATATATATGCTTCATAATCTCGTATATTTCGCGTCGCGTAAAAGTCAGCGGCCGGCAGTCACGATTCTTCGTCGTGCAAATTAATGATGCATATTAATAATGTAGTTTCGCGAGATTTACGAGTTCGATACGTACTGTACGTGCGTGCGATATTTAATTCAATAGCGTATCATTATTGATTAATCATGCAACTTAATTCGTGTCTTTCCGCTTAAAACTCGCGTAGTATCGCGTCAACTTGTCGACATCTTGGAGCATTTAGTCGCCATGCATTAACGTACAACGCGGTGATGAACGCGGAATGAATCGGTACACGATATATTACACAGTTAAGCCCCTTGCACAAAAGGCGATAGCGATAGCGACAGCGACAATTAAGGTTGCCGACAAAGCTATACCTTTGTCAGAATTTTGTCGCTGTCGCTATCGCTATCACTATCACCTACTATTGTGCAAGGGGCTTTATGTTCTTAATTCCTTCCCATGGGGTACGATCTTGGCGAGGTGGGAAGGCCCAGTACCCCGAGGATGTTACCCAAGAAAAACTCTTGTTCTGCTTAGATAAAAATCCAAAGACGAGGAAGCTAACGTACCCTCGCGTCCGTCGATTTAATTGAATAAACGAACCGCAGCCGGTTCGTCGCGTTTGCTTCGGGAGTGCCGTTTAAGTAATCGGACTAAAGAACTTTTTCAAAGTCCATCTGAAGAATATTACGGCATAAGTATTATACTTGACGGAATATTCGACGTCTTATGGGATTTTTAAACGGGAGTGCCGTACAGAATCGCGCGAAAGACTCTTACTGATAAATTAGTCCGCGCGCAATTGTAAATTTATTAATTTATTATGCGCGAGTGTTTCTCGCGAGTGTCCTGTGCAGTGAGAGCAGGAGGAGGAGAAGCAGGAGGAGGCCTGATGCCCTGAGAGGAGGAGGAAGTCCGAGAGAGACATCGGGCTCCGGCGGAGCAACCTTGGGGTGAGTATCATCTCTTATCTGCGTAATAATTCTTTTCCATTTATTCAAATTGTTTTATTTCGATAAGTTAAAAATATAATTAGAGCAAGAGAAATTATCCAAATTTTTATACAAATTTACTTTTGTAAAGATTTTTTTGGGAAAATAGATAATTGTATTATTAAATATCTTATTGAAAAACGAATTAGAGGTGAATAAGAATTATCTTTTGAAAGATTGATTATTTTGAGCGTTTATTTAATTTTATTCTTATGTTTGTATGTTACAGTGTGTATCATCGTAGCTACGTTCCTGAATAACTCCGCCCGTTGCGCATCGGATCGGTGAGTTAAACAATTTTTTTTATTGAGGTAACGAATCTACGATTAATCAAATATAGAGTAAATATATTTCGGTATGTTAAATTATAACAATAAATTATAGTATAAAAAATATTACATTTCGTATAGATCCGTTGCCTTAAAATGGATGGGTTAAAACTGATTAGGGCAAATATTTCATCTTGGTGTCACTTGTTTATCGATGTATTATGTGCGATTATACTTGAGGAGATACTCGCACACTCTTTTTTTTCGCACGCACGGAGCTCGCAATAAAGAGCTCATAACAGTTTATTTAATTATATTGACGCATTGCCGCGTTCTATACATAAATAATTGTTGAAGAAAATGTTAAATCTTAAATATCTGACAAAGTATTTTATCGAAATATATCTAATATCAGAATTTTATTTCGCGAATTTGAATTAGTGTAAGATACAGAATATATTTTCGAAATTTTGTTACGTTGGTCAATTTTGCTGCTAGTATGATATATATTTTAACACAGAGAAATAAGAAGTAAAACAATATTCCGTGTCGGAATATTATATTGGATAATCGGAACACTACTATCACAATTAATTTAGTAGTAATTTATAAAATATAAAATTTTTATTTAGATTTTTTCTAAAGAATTATTTATATGATATTATTTTTCGTGAATAAAATAGGAGTAAATAAAATATTGTGTTAGGTGTCATAAAAAAAAGAAATATCTGTAGATAGGGAAAAATTATTAATTAGTTAGGATGTCTGTGTTATTTATATATCTATTTATTTCTTTCCTAAATATTTATCCAAGATTAAATATTATATAAATCGATGCAAAGAAGCAATATATAGATATATTTAGAAAATGTCAGTATGCATAAATATAAGCATATAAATAAGAGGGATAAAAAATATTTTGGTCTTATATATTATGCAATTTATTTTATAAAAAATGTGATAATGATTATTACTAAATTTATTTTAACAAAGCATCGATTTTACCCTAATTTTTTGTAGCCTATCTATCTATTATTGAGAAATTGGCTTTATGCCAGTCAAGTAATACATGACGTGAGATTCTAAATATTCTGTCGAGAAACGCTAAACCTTTTTCAATTAATTATTTTAGAATTGATCGTATAGTACAGTCGCGCTCATTAATGCCTGGACACCGAAAATTGGATGCGTTTCGGAAACTCACTCTTCGTCTCTTTCTAAGGGGAATTTAACATCCAATTTTTGGTGTAGAGGAATTAATGAGCGCGACTGTACAATACAATTATATACTCAATTTTGCAGTAATATATATAAATATATTATATAAAAAAAAAAATTTGGTTGATGAAAACGAAAAATATAACGAGATGTTTATATCGATGTAAGTTTATAAAGATTTGCATATATATATTATTCAATTATAACAACGTGATTATTGATTAACTACATCTAATATCCAATTGTAATATCAATTGTGCAGGAATTAAGTTTCTTTTTTTCGGATCTCACGTCATTTATTTTGTATATCCTACTTGATAATATTTTCAAGATGCGTGCCGCATGAACAACACGCACAATCACGCATCTTTGTATTTTCGCGGTCGGTTTTCGCGGTCAGTTTTTACATTGAGAAATTTTCTGTTATTAATTTCTTAATTTCGCCCACATTATAAATTCCAATTTTTCGCAGAATATAATTGTAGATTAATATCTACATAACGCAAAGTAAAAATTTTTGTATACTTGATTACAGTTTCAAATTAAAAGAACGGGTCACAAGAAACGTCAATCAGTATTCTCAAGCAAATAACGAAATTAGTGATAGAAATATTTTTGGTCGTACAGTTAATTTTTATGGATTAATATTTTTTTGTAAATTAATTTCTCGTACATTTTTCGATGCAATCAATGCTCACATATAATTCGAATCGAACGTAATAATATTTGTCGGCGATGATAATGATCCAACAATGGATTTTTTTCCTTCCTATATATTAATCTGGTCGAAATGCGACCAGATTGCATATGGCCAGGAGTGACAAAGGTAAGTCCGATCTGGCCCGAAGAAAGAAGATTAGATATAATAAGATAAGTGGTCAACATTGACTACAAAATGGAATGCATAAGGTATAACATACAAAATATTTTTATATATCTATTTATTTGCCCGAAGGCTATTTTCTTTATATTTTCTCGCATATATGTGCGAGATTGCAAAAAATCTCAATTAAATTCCATCGCGCGCGTGTTAAAACTCCCAATTCCATATTTTTAAAATCTTAAGTGATCGTATCACTTTGAGGTATCCCATTCAGATATCCCGCTGGATTAACCACACAGAGAAAAAGAATACCTATTCTTAATTTGAAAATATATCTTTAGTTTCAACGTGGAAATCTTGAAATGGGAATAGTTCAAACAAAAAAAAATGTAGAAATAAAAAGTTGAAACTTTAATAAGAAGATTATAGTGATCTTGCTTATATACGAAACAATCTATAACTTCTTACTTCTTATAAGAATTTCAACTTTTTATTTTAACATTTTTTTTTGTTGAACTTTACATATAATGACTTTATTCAACCAAGTTTACTTCAAGCAAGTTTAACGCAGTATATTATCTTCTATTTTAAGATTTCCACGTTGAAACTAAAGATAATTTCAAATTCAGAATATTTTTTTCTCTGATGTGCAGCAAATCAGGTCCCTTACAAATCGCGGTCTT